TGGCAGACTGACACTGGCAGACTGACACCTCACAGACCGACACCATTGCAGACTAACACCAATTGCAGAACCACACCAATGGCAGACCGACACCACAGCAAACCTAACAACTATTCAGACCGACACCACACAGACCCACACAACAGACCGACACCCCAGACCGAACACCACTGCAGACCGACAACCCCCAACCACACCACTGGCAGACCGACACCGGCTGGCAAGACCACCAACACGGCAGCATCCATCAACCAATGGCAGACCGACAATAACAGACCGACACCACAAAAGCAAGACCGACACCGACGGCAGACCGACACCATTGCAGACCGACACCGCTGGCAGACCGACACCACGGCAGACCGATCACCGCAGCATACCAACACCATTGCAGAACCCACCACCCGCTGGCAGACCGACACCACGGCAGACCTATCAATTGGCTGGCAGACCGACACTGCGGCAGACCGACACCACTGGCAGACCTATCACCCGCCGCAAGACCCATCGCTGGCAGACCGACACCATGGCAAGACCGACACCACGGGCAGACCGACACCATTGCAGACCGACACACAACGCAGAACCGATCACCACGCAGACCACACCACAGCAGCAACCACGGCTGGCAGACCGACACCACTGGCAGACCGACACCCGGCAGACCGACACCATGCAGACCTATCATTGCAGACCTATCACCTGCTGGCAGACCGACACCACTGGCAGACCGACACCTGGCTGGCAGACCGACACCACAGCAGACCGACACCCGCAAGGACTATCACCCGCTGGGCAGACCTACACCACTGGCAGACCGACACCATTGGCAGACCGATCACCAATGGCAGACCGACACCACTGGCAGACCGACACCGGCTGGCACACCGGAAGACCCACCAATGCAGACCGACACCCACCGGGCAAGACCTATCACCACAAGGCATTCCATCACCATTGCAGACCGACACCAATGGCAGAACTCATCACCACGGCAGACCGACACCTGGCTGGCAGACCGACACCACAAGGTGGAGACCGACACCTTGGCAGACCTATCACCAATGGCAGACCGATCACCACTGGCAGACCGACACCACAGACCGATAACCTGGCAGACCGACACCATGGCAGACCGGACACCACGGCAGACCGACACCATTGGCAGACCGACACCATTGCAGACCGACACCATTGCAGACCGACACTGGCTGGCAGACCGGACACCAATGGCAGACCGACACCAATGGCAGACCGACACCATTGGCAGACCGACACCATTGCAGACTCGACACCAGGGGCAGACCACACCACGGCAGACTGACACCATTGGCAGACCGACACCACGGCAGACTGGACACCATGGCAGACCGACACCATTGGCAGACCGACACCAGGCAGACACCCAAGCAGACCGACACCGGAAGACCTATCACCATTGGCAGACCGACACCACGGCAGACCGGACACCACGGGCAGACCGACACCACAAGACCGACACCATGGCAGAACCTATCACCAATGGCAAGACCGACACCACTGGCAAGATCCATCACCCATTGGCAGACCGACACTACGGGCAGACCATCACCAATGGCAGACCGACACCATTGCAGACCACACCATTGGCAGAACTATTGCACCGACACTATTGCAGACCGGACACCACTGGCAGACCGACACCATTGGCAGAACCTAACACCTGGCTGGAGACCGGACACTATTGCAGACCGACACTATTGGTAGACAGGACACTATTGGCAGACCGACACCATTGGCAGACCGACACCGGCAGACTTGACACCATTGGCAGACCGACACCAATGGCAGACCGACACTGGCAAGACCGACACCATTGGGCAACTCCCACACCACTGGCAGACCACACTGGCGGCAGACCGACACCAATGCAGACACACCGCTGGCAGACCGACACTCGCTGGCAGACCGACACCCAAGACCGACACCAATGGCAGACTGACACCATTCAACCCACACCACAGACCGACACCATTGGCAGACCGACACCAATGGCAGACCTGACACTCGCTGGCAGACTGACACAGACCGAAATTGGCTGGCAGACTACACCATTGGCAGACCGACACCACAGACCGACACCAACAGACCGACACCATTGCAGAACCGACACTGGTAATCCCACACCATTGCAGACCGACACCATTGGCAGACCGACACCATTGCAGACCGACATAAAGGAGACCGACACCACGGCAGACCGACACCAATGGCAGACCGACACCATTGCAGACCCGACACCCGCGCAGAACACACGGCAGACCGACACCTGCTGGCAGACCGATACCATTGGGTAAGACCTATCACCACGCAAGACCTATCACCAGCAGACCCACACGGCCAAGGAGACCTATCACCACTGGCAGACCGACACCTGCAGACCGGACAATTATGGCAGACCGACACCACGGGTAAGACCGACACCACAGGCAGACCGACACTGCACTGGCAGACCGACACCACTGGCAGACCGACACCATTGGCAGCACCATCACGGGCAGACCGATCAACTGGCTGGCAGACCGACACCAAACTGACACCATTGGCAGACCGACACCACGCCGCAGACCTATACCACTGGCAGACCGACACCACGCCAAATGGGACTCGACACCATAAGACCGACACCCGGCTGCAGACCGACACCGCTGGCAGACCACCACACTGGCTGGCAGACCGACACCAATGGCGACCAGACACCACGGCAGACCGACACCACTGGCACTGACACCACTGCAAGACCGACACCACGGCAGAATTAATACCATTGCAGACCGACACCACAGGCAGACCTATCAACATTGGCAGACCGACACCTCTGGCAGACCTATCACCGCTGGCAGACCGGACCACGGGCAGACCGACACCACGGCAGACCGATCACCATTGCGGACTAACACCACAGCAGACCGACACCAATGGCAGACCGACACCACTGGCAGACCCACCAACTGGCTGGCAAGACCCATCGACCACTGGCAGACCTATCACCATTGGCAAGACCTATCACCCAATGGCAGACCTATCAATTCGGCAGACCGACACCAATGGGCACCACACCATTGCAGACCGACACCACAGACCGAACAATTGCCGCAAGGACCGACACCTGGCTGGCACCTAACACCATTGCAGACCGACACCACAGGCAGACCGACACCTGGCTGGCAGAACCGACACCATTGGCAGACCGACACCATTGCGGCAACTGACACCATTGCAGACCGGACACTACAGAAGACCGACACCATTGGCAGACCTGACACCACTGGCAGACCGACACCAATTGCAGACCGACACCAATGGCAGACCGACACCATTGGCAGACCGACACCATTGCAGACCGACACTGGCTGCAGACCGACACCAATGGCAGACCGACACCAGCAGCAGACCGACACCATTGCAGACCTACACCTCACTAGCAAGACCGATCACCGGCTGGCAGACCGACACCACAAGACCTATCAATCAACGGCAGACTATCAATTCCTGCTGGCAGACCGACAATACGGCAGACCATCACACCACGGCAGACCGGACACCAATGGCAGACCAACACCGCTGGCAGACCGACACCACGGCAGAACACCATTGGCAGACCGACACCACGGCATACCACACCGTCAATCAGACCGACACCATTGGCAGACCGACCGCCCGGCAGACCGATCACCATTGGCAAGAACTATCAACACCAAATCACCGACGGCAGACCTATCACCGCCGGCAGACCGACACCATTGGCACGACACCAACGGCAGACCCATCACCACGGGTGCATCCTAACACCATTGGCAAGACCTATCAACCACGGGTAAGACCTATCACCAACGGCAGACCATCAATTGGCCGTAAGACCGACACCACTGGCAGACCTATCACCGCTGGCAGACCGACACCATTCAAGCACGGACACCACGGCACCGATCACCATCGGCAGAGACACCATTGGCAGACCACACCACGGCAGATCACTGGCTGGCAGACCGACACGGCAGACCGACACCATTGGCAGACCGACACTCGCTGGCAGACCGACACCACGGTAAGACCTATCACCAACACGGCAGACCACACCATTGCAGACCGACACCACTGGCAAACTGACACCATTGGCAGACTGACACCAGGCAGACCGACACCATTGGCAGACCGACACCATGGCAGACCGACCATGGCAGACCGACACCATTGCAGACCGACACCATTGGCAGACCTATCATTGGCAGACCGACACCACGGCAGACCGACACCACGGCAAGACCTATCACCACAAGAAGACCGACACCACCGGGCAAGACCGGCCACCACTGGCAGACCGACACCATTGCAGACCGACAATTGGCTGGCAGACCGACACCATTGGCAGACCTATCACCATTGGCAGACCGATCACCACAGCAGACCGGGACACCATTGGCAGACCGACACCACAGACCAACACCACAGACCTATCACCAATGGCAGACCGACACCATTGGCAGACCGACAATTGGCTGGCAGACCGACACTGGCTGGCAGACTGACACCATTGGCAGACCGACACCACAGACCGGACACCATTGGCAGACCGACACCGCTGGCAGACCGACACCATTGGCAGACCGACACCATTGGCAGACCTATCACCGGCTGGCAGACCGACACCATTGCAGACTGACACCATTGGCAGACCGAATCACGGCAAGACCGACACTGGCTGCAGACCTAACACCCGGCGCAAGACCGACACCGCCGGCAGACCGACACCACTGGCAGACCGACACCATTGCAGACCGACACCATTGGCAGACCTATCACCATTGCAGACTGGACACTCACGGCAGACCGACACCATTGCAGACTGACACTATTGCAGACCGACACTCATTGGCAGACCGACACTATTGGCAGACTGACACCACGCAGACCGACACCATTGGGTAGACCGACACTATTGCAGACTCGACACCATTGGCAGACCGACACCAATGGCAGACTGACACCATTGGCAGACCGACACCCATTGCAGACCGGACACCACAGACCGACACTGCTGGCAGACCGACACTACTGGCAGACCGACACCATTGCAGACCGACACCACAGACCGACACCATTGGCAGACCGACACTCATTGGCAGACTGGACACCATTGCAGACCGACACTGGCAGACCGACACCTGCTGGCAGACCGACACCACTGGCAGACCGACACCTGGCAGACCGGACACCATTGGCAGACTGACACTATTGCAGACCGACACCATTGCAGACCGACACTATTGGCAGACCGACACCATTGGCAGACTGGACACCATTGCAGACCGACACCACTGGCAGACCGACACCATTGCAGACCGACACCATTGCAGACTGACACCATTGGCAGACCGACACCATTGGCAGACCGACACCACAGACCTATCACCCAATGGCAGACCGACACCACTGCAGACCGACACCACAGACCGACACCATTGCAGACCGACACCAATGGCAGACCGACACCATTGGCAGACCGACACCTGCTGGCAGACCGACACCACTGGCAGACCGACACTACTGGCAGACCGACACTGCTGGCAGACTGGACACCATTGCAGACCGACACCATTGGCAGACCGACACCATTGGCAGACCGACACCACTGGGCAGACCGACACCAATGGCAGACCGACACCATTGGTAGACCGACACCATTGGCAGACCGGACACCATTGGCAGACATCACCACAGACCGACACCACGGCAGACTGACATCAATGGCAGACTGACACCATTGGCAGACCGACACTATTGTGCAGATCGACACCATTGGCAGACTCGACACCAATGGCAGACCTACAATTGGCTGGCAGACCGACACCATGGCAGACCGACACCATTGGCAGACCTATCACCGGGAAGACCGACACGGCAGACCTATCACTGGCTGGCAGACCTATCACTGGCAGACCGACACCAATGGCAGACCGACACCATTGCAGACCGACACCATTGCAGACCGACAATTGGCTGCAGACCGACACCAATGGCAGACTTATCACCACGGCAGACCGACACCACTGGGTAAGACCCCACACCGCTGGCAGACCTATCACCACTGGCAGACCGATCACCAATGCAGACCGACACCTGCCGGAAGACCGACAATTACTGGCAGACCGACACCTGGCTGCAGACCACTGACACCATTGGCAGACCCAAAATGGCAGACCGACACTCAATGGCAGACGACAATTCTTGCAGACCGACACCATTGCAGGACTGACACCATTGGCAGACCGACACTCAATGGCAGAACCGACCCCATTGGGCAGACCGACACTCATTGGCAGACCTATCACCATTGCAGACCGACACCACGGCAGACCGATCACCAGCTGGCAGACCGACACCACTGGGGACCGACACCATTGCAGACTGACACTATTGGCAGACTGACACCAATGGTAGACGACACCATTGCAGACCGACACCACAGTAGACCGACACCATTGGCAGACCGGACACCAATGGCAGACCGACACCATTGGCAGACCGACACCCACAGACCGACACCATTGGCAGACCGACACCAATGGCAGACCGACACCATTGCAGAGACCGAACACCACAGACCGACACCATTGCAGGCCGGACACCTGCTGCAGACCGACACTGGCTGGCAGACCGACACCAATGGCAGACGACACCATTGGCAGACCGACACCACAGACCGACACCACTGCAGACCGACACCATGGCAGACCGACACCATTGGCAGACTTATCACCACAGACCGACACCATGGCAGACCGACACCAATGGCAGACCGACACCATTGGCAGACCGACACCACAGACCGGACACCATTGGCAGACTCGACACCACGGCAGACCGACACCATATGGGACCGACACCAATGGCAGACCGACACCATTGGCAGACTGGAAACTATTGGCAGACTGACACCATTGGCAGACTGACACCAATGGCAGACCGACACCATTGGGCAGACCGGACACCATGGCAGACCGACACCGCTGCAGACCGACACCAATGGCAGACCGACACCAATGGCAGACCCATTGCAGACGACACTGGCTGGCAGACCGACACCATTGGCAGACCGACACCACGCAGACCGACACCAGCTGGCAGACCGACAATTATTGCAGACCGATCACCACAGACCGATCACAGGCTGGGCACGAAATTATTGGCAGACCGAACAATTGGCTGGCCGACCTATCAATGGCTGGCAGACCGACACCACGGCAGACCGAATTGGCAGACCGACACCATGGCAGATCCATCACCCGGCTGGCAGACCGACACCAATGGCAGACCGACACCATTGCAGACCGACACCACAGACCGACACCATTGGCAGACCGACACTATTGCAGCATACCACCACGGTAGAGACCGACACCTGCTGGCAGACCGCTAGACCGACACTGGCTGGCAGACCGGACACCATCACCCACAGCAGACCGACACCAACATGGCACCTACACCCCGGGCAAGACCGATCACCACTGGCAGACCGATCAACCGCAGACCCACCACGGCAGACGACACCACAGACCGACACCGGCGCAGACCCATCTCGCTGGCAGACCATCACCACGGCAGACCGACACCACTGGCAGACCGCACACCACCCGGCAGACCCCACTCGCTGCAAGACCGACACCAACGGACCATCACCTCAAGGATCGACACCGGCTGGCAGACCGACACCACGGCAGACCGACACCAATGCAGACCGACACCATTGCAGACCGACACCACAGGCACCGACACCCGCTGGCAGACCGACCACGGCACCTATCACCACAGACCGACACCCGCTGGCACCACACCCGGCAGACCATCTCATATCACCACTGGCAGACCGACACCACGGCAGACGACACCGGCAGACCATCACCATTGGCAGACGACACTATTGCAGACCGACACCACGGCAGACCGACACCGCTGGCAGACCGACACCGCTGGCAGACCATCAATGGCTGGCAGACCGACACCATTGGCAGACGACACCACAGGCATTCTATCAATTGCCGGGGGAACCTCCGGCACCACGGCAGACCGACACCCGCCGGGTGGCGACACCACGGCAGACCGACACTCACTGGCAGACCGACACCATGGCAGACCGACACCATTGGCAGACCGACACCACTGGCAGACCGACACCATTGGCAGACCTATCACCACAGACCGACACCAGTTGCAGACCGACACCACGGCAGACCGACACCACAGACCGACACCTGGCAGACCGACACCCGCTGGCAAGCAACGACACCATTGCAGACTTATCACCAATGCAGACCCATCAAGACCGATCACCAATGCACCGGCCGCACCATCACCACCGACACCACGGCAGACCTATCACCACAGCATCGACGACACTATTGCACTCCACACCATTGCAGACCGATCACCGGCAACAAGCACCAATGGCAGACCGACACTGCTGGCAGAGACACCAATGCGCAGACCGAACACCATTGGCACAGACCACAAATACGGAGAGTGACACAATGGCAGACCGACACTGGCTGGCAGACGACACCATTGGCAGACCGACACCATGCAGACTGACACTAATGGCAGAGGACACCAACAACCGACAATGGCAGACTGACACCAATGGCAGACGACACAATGGCAGACCGACACCAATGGACCGACATGCAGACCGACACCTGCTGCAGACCGACACCGGCCGGTGACCGACACCCGCTGGCAGCACCACACCACCGATAATTACAATGCACCAACCCGGGACCAACCGCAATCAGCCGCAATCACCGGCTGGAGACCTATCACCACCGGATTACCACCGGCAGACCATCACCGGGCAGACCGACACCACGGCAGACCTAACACCACGGCAGACTACACCGCACGACACCACCGGTAAGACGAAACCGCTTTCCATCACCAACAGACCGACACCATTGCAGACCATCATGGCAGATCTACACCACGGCAGACCGACACCATTGCAGACCTCAGACCACAGACGACACCCTGGCAGACCGACACCATTGGCAGACCGGACACCATGGCAGACCGACACCATTGGCAGACCGACACCACAGACGTCCGCTGGCAGACCGACACCAATGCAGACCGACACCACTGGCAGACCGGACACACAGACCGACACCTGGCTGCAAGACCGACAATTCTGGCAGACCGACACCATTGGCAGACCGACACCATTGGCAGACCATCTGGCGCAGACCGACACCACTGCAGACCTATCACCTGCTGGCAGACCCATCTGGCAGACCGACACCACGGCAGACGACACCATTGCAGACCGATCACCCGCTGGCAGACCGACACCACAGACCTACACCCGGGACACCATTGGCAGATCCATCACCATTGGCAGACCGACACCATTGCAGACCGACACCACTGCAGACCGACACCAGGCACATCAATGGCTGGCAGACCGACACCATTGGCAGACCGACACTCCACAGACCGACACCATTGCAGACCGACACCACAGACCGACACCACGGCAGACCGACACCACAATGGCAGACTGGACACCACAGACCGACACCAGCTGGCAGACCGACACTACGGGCAGACCGACACCACAGACCGACCTCACTGGCAGACCGGACACCACAGCAGACCGACACATTGGGTACGACACCACTGGCAGACCGACACCATTGGCAGACCGAACACCATTGGCAGACCGACACCACAGACCGACACTCATTGCAGACCGACACCACAGACCGACACCTGGCTGGCAGACCGGACACCATTGCAGACCGACACCATTGGCAGACCGACACCATTGCAGACCGACACCATTGGCAGACCGACACCACGGCAGACCGACACCATTGCAGACCGAACCATTGGCAGACCGACCATTGGCAGACGACACCAATGGCAGACCGACACCATTGGCAGACTGACACTGGCAGACCGACACCATGCAGACCGACACCAATGGCAGACCGGACACTGGCTGGCAGACCGACACCATTGCAGACCGACACCACGGCAGACCGATACCACGGCAGACCGACACCTGGACCTCAATTGGCAGACCGACACCACTGGCAGACCGACACCATTGGCAGACCGGACAACTGGCAGACCGACACCAGTGGCAGACCGACACTACTGGCAGACCGACACCACAGACCGACACTGGTAGACGACACCAATGGCAGACCGACACCATTGGCAGAATGACAATCACTGCAGACCGACACCATTGGGCAGACCACACCACATGGCAGACCGACACCATTGCAGATTACAACTGGCAGACCGACACCATTGCAGACCGACACCATTGCAGACCGACACCATTGCAGACCGACACCATTGGCAGACCGGACACCACTGGCAGACCGACACCACAGACCGACACCACGGCAGACCGACACCACAGTAAGACCGACAACTACTGGCAGACCGACACCACGGGCAGACCTATCACCGGCAGACCATATCAGCCGGGAGAACACCAGGCAGACCATCACCGCAAGACGCACACCAGCAGACCGACACCGCTGGGAATCGACACCATTGGCAGACCGATACCCATTGGCAGACCGACACCAATTGCAGACCGACACCACTGGCAGAACCGACACCACAGACCGACACCATTGGCAGACCGACACCAATGGCAGACCGACACCACAGGACCAACACCATTGCAGACCGACACCGGTTGCAGACCGACACCACAGACCGACAATTCAGGCAGACCGACACTGGCTGGCAGACCGGACACCACAGACCGACACCATGGCAGACCGACAATTGGCTGGCAGACCGACAATTACTGGCAGACCGACACCAATGCAGACCGACACCGCCGGGCATTCCATCACCACGGCAAGACCGACACCACTGGCAGACCGACACCGCAGACCGATCACCGCTGGCAGACCGACACCCAATGGCAGACCGACACCAATGGCAGACCGACACCATTGGCAGACCATCACCCGCTGCAGATCTATCACCATTGGCAGACCGACACCACGGCAGACCGACACTCATTGCAGACCGACACCAGGCTGCAGACCGACACCATTGGCAGACCTATCACCATTGCAGACCGAATACCATTGGCAGACCGACACTCATTGGCAGACCCGACACCATGGCAGACCGACAATTGGCAGACCGACACCACGGAGACCTACCACGGTAGACCGACACCAATGGCAGACCGACTCATTGGCAGACCGACACCATTGGGTAAGACCGATCACCGCTGGCAGAACCGACACCAACAGACCGACACCATTGGCAGACCGATACCGGGCAGACCGACACCTGGCTGCAGATCATCACCACTGGCAGACCGGACACTCATTGCAGACCGACACCACCTCGTGCAGACCGACACCTCTGGCAGACCGACTGGCTGGCAGACCGACACCACGGCAGACCGACACCACAGACCGACACCTGCTGGCAGACCGACACCACGGCAGACCGACCACAGACCGACACACAGACTGGCACACAGACCGACACCATTGCAGACCGACACCACAGCAGACTGACACCACAGACCGACACCACTGCAGACCGACACCATTGGCAGACCGACACTGGCTGCAGACCGACACCACAGACCGAAATGGCAGACTACACCATTGCAGACCGACACCACAGACCGACACCGGCTGGCAGACCGACACCATTGCAGACCGACCAATGGCAGACCGACACCATTGGCAGACCGACACCATTGGCAGACCGACACCATTGGCAGACCGACACCATGGCAGACCGACACCACAGACCGACACACATGGACACTGACACCGTGCAGACCGACACCATTGGCAGACCGACACTGCTGCAGACCGACACCACTGGCAGACCGACACCACTGGCAGACCGACACCTGGCTGGAAGACCGACACCATTGGCAGACTGACACCAATGGCAGACCGACACCACAGACCGGACACCAGCAGACCGACACCACTGGCAGACCGACACTGGCTGGCAGACCGACACCACAGCAGACCGACACCATTGGCAGACCGATCAATTGCTGGCAGACCGACACTATTGGCAGACCGACAATTGGCGGAAGACTGACACCATTGCAGACCGACACCATGGGCAGACCGACACCATTGGCAGACCTATCAACCACTGGCAGACCGACACATTGGCAGACCGACACCTGGCTGGCAGACCACACCATTGCAGACCGACACCATTGGCAGACCGACACCATTGGCAGACCGACACTATTGGCAGACCGACACCACAGACCGACACCACGGCAGACCGACACCCGCTGGGTAGACCGGACACCATTGCAGACCGACACACAGACCGACACCAATGGCAGACTGACACTGGCAGACCGACACCATTGGCAGACCGGACACCATTGGCAGACCGACACCAATGGCAGACTGACACTGTGCAGACCGACACCATTGGCAGACCGACACCACTGGCAGACCGACACCACGGCAGACCGACACCACTGGCAGACCGACACCACAAGACCACACTGCAGACCGACACCATTGGCAGACCGACACCATTGGCAGACCGGACACCATTGCAGACCGACACCACTGCAGACCGACACCATTGGCAGACCGACACCATTGGCAGACCGACACCACTGGCAGACCGACACCTGCTGGCAGACCGACACCATTGCAGACCGACACCAATGGCAGACCGACACCAATGGCAGACCGACACCATTGGCACCGACAATTGGCTGGCAGACCGACACCATTGCAGACCGACACCAATGGCAGACCGACACCATTGGCAGACCGAAATCATTGCAGACCGACACCATTGGCAGACCGACACCATTGGCAGACCGATCACCATTGCACTGGACACCAGGCAGACCGGACACCGGCTGGCAGACCGACACCATTGGCAGACCGACACCAATGGCAGACCGACACCAATGGCAAGACCGACACCGGCTGGGCAGACCGACACCATTGGCAGACCGACACCATTGCAGACCGACACCAATGGCAGACCGACACCATGCAGACCGACACCACAGACCGACACCATTGGCAGACCGACACCATTGGCAGACCGACACCCGCTGGCAGACCGACACCAATGGCAGACGACACTGGCAGACCGACACTCTGGCAGACGGACACCTCTGGCAGACCGACACCAATGGCAGACCGACACCATTGGCAGACCGACACTCTGGCAGACCGACAATTACGGCAGACCCACCAATGGCAGACCACACCATTGGCAGACCGACACCACTGGCAGACCGACACTGCTGGCAGACCGACACCATTGCAGACCGACACCACGGCAGACTACACCACTGGCAGACCGACACCACAGACCGACACCATTGGCAGACCGACACCAACTGGCAGACCGACACCGCTGGCAGACCGATCACCATTGGCAGACCGAACAATTCGGCAGACCGACACCACCAAGACCACATCTGGCAGACCGACACCATTGGCAGACCCGACACCACAGACCGACACCATTGGAGAACCGACAATCACGCAGACCACACCACGGCAGACCGACACCACAGACCGACACCCTGGCAGACCGACAATGCTGCAGACCACACCCAGGCAGACCGACACCACTGGCAGACCGATCACCCATTGGCAGACCGACACTCGCTGCAGACCGACACCAATGGCAGACCGACACCACTGGCAGACCGACAATTGGCAGACCGACACCACAGCAGACCGACACCACGGCAGACCGAATACCGGCAGACCGACACCACGGCAAGACCACCCCATTGGCAGACCGACACCATTGCAGACACAGCAGAGGACACCAATGGCAGACCTATCACTGGCAGACCTATCACCATTGGCAGACCGACACCGGCTGGCAGACCGACACCAATGGCAGACCGACACTCTGGCAGACCGACACCATTGGCAGACCGACACCATTGGCAGACCGACACCATTGCAGACTGACCATTGGCAGACCGACACTGGCTGGCAGACCGACACTATTGGCAGACTGGACACCAATGGCAGACTGACACTAATGGCAGACTGGACACCATTGGCAGACCGGACACCATTGGACTGACACCATTGGCAGACCGACACCACTGGCAGACTGACACCATTGCAGACTGACACCATTGCAGACTGGACACCATTGGCAGACCGACACCTGCTGGCAGACCGACACCATTGGCAGACCTGACACTGGCAGACCGACACTGGCTGCAGACCGACACCACAGGCAGACCGACACCATTGGCAGACCGACACCAATGGCAGACCGACACCAATCAGGCAGACCGACACCATTGGCAGACCGACACCATTGGCAGACCGACACCATTGGCAGACGGACACCAATGGCAGACCGACACCATTGGCAAGACCGACACCATTGGCAGACTGGACACCATGGCAGACCGACACCATTGCAGACCGACACCATTGGCAGACCGACACCAATGGCAGACGATACCACTGGCAGACCGGACACCATTGGCAGACCGACACCATTGGCAGACCGACACCACGGCAAGACCGACACCACAGACCTATCACCATGGCAGACTGACACTACTGGCAGACCGACACCACTGGCAGACCGACACCACTGGCAGACCGACACCATTGGCAGACCGACACCATTGGCAGACTGACACCACAGACTACAATTGCGGAGACCACCACCAATGGCAGACGACCAATGGCTGGAGACCGACAATGGCAGACCGACAATCTGGTAGACTGACACTATTGGTAGACTGACACTATTGGTAGACTGACACTATTGGTAGACTGACACTATTGGTAGACTGACACTATTGGTAGACTGACACTATTGGTAGACTGACACTATTGGTAGACTGACACTATTGGTAGACTGACACTATTGGTAGACTGACACTATTGGTAGACTGACACTATTGGTAGACTGACACTATTGGTAGACTGACACTATTGGTAGACTGACACTATTGGTAGACTGACACTATTGGTAGACTGACACTATTGGTAGACTGACACTATTGGTAGACTGACACTATTGGTAGACTGACACTATTGGTAATACTGACACTATTGGTAGACTGATACTATTGGTAGACTGACACTATTGGTAAGACTGACACTATTGGGAGACTAACTCTATTGGTAAGACTGACACTAGCAAACTGACACTATTAGTAAGACTGACACTATTGGTAGACTGACAGTATTGGTAGACTGACACTATTGGTAGACTGACACTATTAGTTAGACTAACACTATTGGTAGACTGACACTATTAGTAAGACTGACAATATTGGTAGACTGACACTATTAGTAAGACTGACACTATTAGTAAGCCTGACACTATTAGTAAGACTGACACTATTAGTAAGACCGACACTATTAGTAAGACAAACAGTCAAATTATACAACAGTCGAAAGTCTACCAGAGAAATGAGGCAGTAAAGACTTATTTACACGCTCGTAAACCTTAGAGTAAGAGGGACACACACACAGGCACCACCAAACACAGAAAGTGGTGACCAGCAAAGTCACTTTCATAGGTTAACTGGTGAAACAGACGAGCGACTCGACCCTCCAGTGATGGGAGGGATAGGGTGGGAGATGGTGGTGATTGGGTGGGGGATGGGATGAGGAATGGTGGTGATGGGGCTGGCGATGGTGGTAATGGGGAAATGTGGTTGTAGAGGGGGAGTAGTGAAGAGTGAAAGTGATCGTTAGAGACTGTGGTAGTTGCGATGGTGTAGGGGCTGTAATGGTGGTATATATATATATATATATATATATATATATATATATATATATATATATATATATATATATATATATATATATATATATATATATATATATGTAATATATATTTATGCTACAAGCTCGTTGAACAGGGCTTGTGTGAAATACAACAAAAGTCTAGACTGCTTTTTAGTATCCTGGTGGTCCAGCGGTTAAAGGTTCCCTGTCACAGTCATAGCTTGGTGTGCGTGTGGGTTCGAATCCTGTGCTGAGTAAAAGGATTGCATGCAGAAGTCCGCTTTATTGGGCCAATGAAATATATACGATCTCTCGCAAGCTCGGAAGCCCGACGGGTAAAACGTTTACCTTTAATCACCTAAGGATACGGGTGGTCCCTGATAGAGTGTCTACGGCGCCATAAGCTCGCTGAACAGGCTTTGTGAAATATAACAAAGTCTAGACTGCTTTTGGTATCCTGGTGGTCCAGCGGTTAGCGTTCCCTATCACAGTCATAGGCTTGTGCCGTGGGTTCAACCTGGCGGGTTGAGGTGTTGATTGTATGTAGAAGTCCGCAGTTTATTGTACATGAAATATATATGATCCTCGTGTTTCGAAGCCGGATTTAAACGTAACCCCTGACCACCTAAGTACACGGGTGGTCCTTATTAGAGTGTTCACGGCGCCATAAGCTCGCGAACAGGCTTTGTGAAATATAACAA